GGGGGGACCCCCTTCCTTCCACATGAGGGTCTCAGGATTCCCGGTATGGGAAGTCCACCTGTCCGTGGTTGGTAGAGCGTGTGCATCATGCCATCCTCCACCTCCCCCAGTTGAGGTGGTGAGGCGTTCAAGCAGAGGTTGTGGAGAGAGGAAATTCATTTCTCCTCAGAGGCCTAGCTATTCAATTTGGGGTGATTCTGGCCTCCTCCTCCTGGTTCTCTCTGCTTCCTGATCATTTTCTCACGGTCTGTTTCATTGCATTGTAAATGCTAAACCAATATATGGCTGTGAACCAAGGAATTTCTAGTTAAAGTTTATTACTACACTGTCATTCTTTTTTTTTTAAATAAATTTTATTTTATTCATGAGAGACACAAAGAGAGAGAGAGAGAGGCAGAGACACAGGCAGAGGGAGAAACAAGCTCCATGCAGGAAGCCTGACGTGGGACTTGACCCCAGGTCTCCAAGATCATGCCCTAGGCTGAAGGCGGCGCTAAACCACCGAGCCACTGGGGCTGCCCCACTGTCATTCTTTTAAAGATTTTTTTAAAAAAAAATTTAAAGATTAATTTATTTATTTGAGGCGACACAGGGCAGGGGTAGAAGGAGAGAGAAACTCAAGCAGACTCCATGCTGAGCACAGAGCCCGATGTGGGGCTCAATCTCACAACCCTGAGATCATGACCTGAGCTGAAATCAAGAGTTGGACGCTTAACTGATGAGCCACCCAGGGACCCACCTTTAAAAAAATTTCAATGTGGGAATGAAATTCTCTAGAGAGGGAATCTATTCCTCTAGTTGTCTTCTGTTAACATGGATGAAGAAGGTCAGTGAGCACCCCCAACAGAGTGGCATTCAGGTGACGCCCATATCTGTGTCCCTTCGTGCACAGTGTCCCTACTTGGAGGTTCTTCACCAAGTGAATCATGCCCCCTGGGGGAGCCCAAGTCAAATCTCCAACAGTCTGTGTGGTCAGTAATGTTGGGCCATTGTACTGGGCTGTGGATTTGTCTTGTGATGATCATGAAAAGATTATTCCTGCCAGAGCCTTTACTTATCACAAATTATTGTCAGGCGAAAGATTAAAATTTCAATCTTCATTGTCATTGGATGGATTGCTGTTCGGAGAGTTCTCAGATTCTCTGTTTATTTGGCATCCATTAATTCCAAAGCCAGACTAAGAGCCAAAGCTGTTTGCCTCTCTCCTGTGACCCAGAGCCCTCCTCTGAGGCACCTTCTCTGTCGGGCTCTCACACACGGAGCCAGGGTGACCGCTGCCCTTAATCAGTTCAAGGCCGGATGCCAGACGGCTGGGGACAGCCCTTATGCCTCAGAACCCACCAGAGTCATTAAAGCTAGCCAACCCTGAGCTGTTTCCACTGTCCTGTCTTGCCTTTCCTGTGGAGACCCCAGCAGAGGCTCTGACCTTTGCCTTCCCCTTATTCCTTGTCTGTCTCATAACCAACACTGGTGCTTCCCCCCGTAGCCCCCCCTGGCTTGGTGTGCCTCTTACTGATGGGGGGGACTCTGAATAACATTAAACTCTTCTTTCAATAGCGTTAACCTCTGAGCTGTCACTTGGTCACTTTCATAACATGAGATGCAGGCGTAAATCTGTGGCTTTTGATGGCAGTCATCCCATCAGTGAGCATGCCCTTAGGAGCACCTAATACTTGTCAAGCACGGTGTGAGGTTCGGGGATGACATTTTTTTTTTTTTTAAATGTTGAAAACTTACAACTTAGTCGAGGAGACAGGTTGTATTCTTTATTTATTTGTTTATTTATTTTTTTGGTTGTATTCTTTAAATAACTAATTGTATGAGAATATGCCACACGTTCTGAGGATGACATAAACAAAAGCCTGGAGAAGTTTCAAAGAAACCCAAAGCGAATCAATGAAGGAAGGCTTCCCTGAAAGACTGGAACTCAGCCTTGAACAAAGGCTAGAGCTCAGATAATGAGGATGGAGAGACCAATTCCAATTAGGGGAAACGGCATGATCAGACTCCTAGCAGAGAGCACGCACGTGGCATGTTTGCAGGAGGCTGAGCCTAAAGAGAAGGCTCTAGGAAATTTTGGACATTTTCAGAGGCAGGAAGAGAGTGGCTGTAACTTATTTTTCAATAATTAGGGCTAATGTTTGTATTAATACCTTCCGCTTGATCACACACATACTCTGACCTTATGGAGCAGATCTCTGCTTTCAGATGTAAAAGGCCTATTGGGGAGATAGAACGCATACGCAGGGGGGCTTCTATGGAGTGTGGGAGGTCCAGGAGCAGGTGTGCCAGGGGTGGGCGCCGTGAGGGGCCAGAGAGGAGCCCAGCCCAGGCTGGTGTGTGGTGTGGGGAGATGGGTCAAGGAACGCTTTCTAGAGGAGACATGGGAGAGCTTGGTCCTGAAGGATGAGTCAGACCTCACTCAGTGATGCAGGAGGGGAAGGACATTCTAGGCAGAGAGGGCAGCTGAGCTAAGGCACAGAGATCTGAAACAATGTGACCCTGTGGGGCATTAGCAGCATTGCAGGTACGACTAGAGACCAAGTTGGCACCCAGGCTTGCTGTTCCCAGATCCCGTGTTCTAGTTGGATGGGAATTCATCCCACCATTTTGGAAGAAGTTGATCTGGTCGTCCTATTTAGAAAACTTTTTTTGTTGTTATTATCTTTTTATCCTTACTATATTTAGGGAAGAATAACCAAACATGAAAGGCAAAGTTAATAGAAAAAAAAAAAGATTTTCTAGATTGAGAGCCCCAGGAGGAGGAAGAAGAGCCAGAGTTCCTCAGGTGGATGCTCCCTCAGAAGCAGATCCCCATGCCATCTTTAGAGCCACAGCTGTGGGCGTCATTGAAAGAGGGTTTTGTGGGATGCCTGGGTGGCTCAGCAGTTGAGCATCTGCCTTCGGCTCAGGGTGTGATCCCAGGATCCAGGATCGAGTCCTACATCAGGCTCCTTGCGGGGAGCCTGCTTCTCCCTCGGCCTGTATCTCTGCCCCTCTCTCTCTCTGTCTCTGTGTCTCTCATGAATAAATAAATAGAATCTTAAAAAAAAAAAAAAGGAAAGAGAGGGTTTTGTGCAAAAGGTGCAGCTTGAATGAAGTCTTAAAGTGGAGCCAGAAGCCTCTAGTGCATTCTCTGTCTTGCATTTGTTGGAGACAAGCATCTTTTCGGAGGAGCAAACATTTTAATACAATGGCCAGACAACTTTTGTCTCATGTTATCCACAGAGCCAGTGCCAGCTTTTCCCACGAGTGGATATATTATGACCATGTTACACAGCATCAGGCACCTGAGGAGACTTTGTGTTACCAGTTGTGTCAGTTCAACATGAGCTTCCTGAGTAAAAGTGATTATGGGGCTTAGTTGTCCAGGCTGGTGGACTGTGATTGGGCCAGGAGAGGACAGGAAAAGGTAGATTCCTCTGCTCATACTTGTCCCAGGGCTCTGCCTCACTCTGCAAAGACCGCTGTCATCAGCATAGCCTCCTAGGCCCTAACAGCTGGTCCCTGCCCTCTCCAGCCTCATCTCTTTCGACTCACATGACTCCAACATGCCAGATCTCTCCCTACCTCAGGGCCTTTGCACATGCTGGCTGCACTGCTGGGAACATGGTTCCCTTGCTCTTTTGCTGAGTTAATTCTTCTTCTTCAAATCTCAAACACCAGGCAGTACTTCTTGGGCCCCAAACTCAGTCAGGGCCTTACATATTCTCATTACTCATGGTCCTTGTACCTTAAGTGTTAAGTCCTAATACCAATCTGATTAGTAATTATGCAATTAATTGTGGGAATAGTGGTTGAGTGTCTGTCTCCCGACAAGAATATAAGCCCAAGGGGAATAGGGATTGTGTCTGTTTTGCTCACTGTTGCACCTCCAGATCCTTTTTCAGAGAAGGTTATTAATATTTACAAAAAGAAATAAGAGAGGGAGGGAGAGAGGGAAGGAGGAAATGCACAAGCCCCTCCATTTGTTTATCATCCAACGTCTCTGGGGTTTCACTGTTTAAAATAGCTTTGACGAGGTATAATTGACATATCGTAAACACACATGTTAAAGAGTACAGTTTGATAAGTTTTGACGTGTGTCTACACCCATGAAACCATCACTACCATTGAGATAATGAATATATCCATCACTCCCAAAAGTTTCCTCTTGTCTCACTAAAAGCCCTTCCTCCCACCCTCTCCCCAGGCAACCACGGATTTGCCTCTGTCACTATAGATCACTTGGCACCTTCTGGAGTTTTATATAGATGGAACCCTACAGTCTGCACTCTTTTGTTTGGCTTCTTTGACTCAGCGTAATTACTCTGAGATTCATCCATGGTGGTATATGTATCAATAGCTCACTGTCTTTATTGGGGCCTAGGACTCTGTTCCAAAACTCTATCATGTTCATTCCTCTATTAATAAACATTTGGGTTGTTCCAAGTTTTGAGCTATTTTAGGTAAAGTGTCTCTGCACATCTGTGTGTAAAACTCCTGGCATGAATGTAGCTTTCATTTCTCTCAGGTAATACCTAGGAGTAGCACGGCTGGGTCATGTGGTGGGTGTGTGTTTAATTTTTTAAGAAACTTGTCTGTGGTTCACTTTTCACCCTGTCTGCTTCCGGCAAGATGTTGTGAAGATTGCTAACATTTCGAAAGTGGGTTTGAGTGCTTCAGGAAAAAAAGGCAGTCAGGAGGGTGGTGGTAAGGGAATTCAGCACGAGGAGACAGTAGGATTTCATTTTAATTTTTAAATTTTAGCACAGTCTAGGAAATGGATAGCAGGTTGCAAACCCCAGACCTTCTGATTGCCACTCCCCTCCTCCATGTCACACAGTATCTGCCATTGATTCGGTCTTCCTCCAGATAATTCCTTGAGGTTTCTTAAATTGAGAACTTCGTAGTGAGGTATAGGTCCACATTGGTCTGTGATCCAGCATGTTCTACTGTACACACGCCTTCATCACAGGACACTTCTCTAGTCCTAACCTATTTGTCTCTCTTCTCCTCAGGGGACACTTAAACTGGCTTCAGCTAGATCGAAGAGTGTTGGAACATGACTTCCCCAAAAAGTCAGGACCGGTGGTTTTATACTTTTGTGTCAGGTATGTATAGCTGGTGTCCCTCCTTTTACTTCTTATATTTTTCTTTGTCAAGAAAAGTCTGGAAGGACAGTGTAACAAAGGAAAGGGGAATCAAGTTTGTTGTGGTCCGTTGGCCAATGACAGAGGTCACAGTCGACTGTATGCATGCTGCATTCCCAGTAGATGTGGGCATAGGGTGTGAGTGTCCAAGGCCTGCCCTGCATGCATGAATACACATGTTTGTGCTCTTGCACTAGGATATTTGTGTGGAATGAAGATAAGAGCTCTTTTTTTTTTTTTTTTTTTTTTTTTTGCTTTTTTGAGGGGAGGGGCATATATCTCAAACTAAACTAAGTCTCTTACAGTAACACAAAACTCTTGGATTACTATTTTCTTGTGTGGCAGTCATTTAGAGCTATATCACAAATACCTGTATCTTTTCCTTTTTCTTAAGATTTTATTTATTTATTTGAGAGATCAAGCTAGCACACAAGTCAGGGGGGAGGGACAGAGGAAGAGGGAGAAACAGACTCCCTGCTGAGCAGGGAGCTTGACTTGGGCTCTTACCCAGGACCCTGGGATCATGACTTGAGCCAAAGGCAGATGCTCAGCCAACAGAGCCACCCAGGTGCCCCTGTGTCTTCTTTCCTTTTACCATAAGTGGCACTTGGTCTCTTGAAACTTGCCTATTTTAACTTATTCCAAATAGGAATAGCTGAAATGCAGCAGCAAACCGTAGATCAATGCCTTCCCCACTAAGGGAAGATATGGCATAATAAAATACCAGAAACAAAGGGCATTTTCTGTTTACTAATCTATTATAAGAAGTTTTATTTTGTGACTGCAGAGAATATAATTTGCTTCTCACGGTTAATATTTGCAAATATCTCACAAAGCCAGCTGGACTTACCACTTTAATTTGCAGAAGGTTTTGGCAAGTTAGAGGGGCTTGTGTTATAGGTTCAGGGACAATGCCAGGATCTGAGCATCCAGATCCAGCAGCTCCCAGAGCACTTGTCCTTGGAGCCACCAGGCAGTTTCTGTGCAGAACATTCATTGCATACCATTGCAGGGACATTTAGGCTTGAAGGGCTCCATCTTCCATTGGACACCAACCGAGTGTGTATTCCTACCGAATACACACCTTGTTCTTTTAAAATATGTTAAAATTTTACAGTGTGGTGCCTGGGTGGCTCAGTGGTTGAGCTTCTGTTTTTGGCTCATACCATGATCCCGGGGTCCTGAGATTGAGCCCCAGGTCGGGCTCCCTGCTCAGGTGGCGAGTCTGCTTCTCCCTCTTCCTCTCCCTCTGCCCCTTCCCCAAACTCATGTTTGTGCGTGCACACACTCACACACGCACATGTTCTCTGTCTCAAATAAAATTTTTAAAAAGTATATATTAACAATTTCAAGAGCAGGACACAAACAATTCACAGGCCAATTCTTCCTAAAGAGCATGGTCAGAAATGCAGTTTCAGACGTAGCCATCCTGATACCACGGAAGGCATCCGAGAGCCTAAACAAGAATTAAAGGGTCCATTTACCAGGCAGGAATGTGTATCGCCGCCTCCACCGGAGGAGCGAATTTAAACTTAGATTTAATGCCCTTTTGATTTGTTTAAGAGCTGCAAACCTTTCAGAGCTAATCTTAGCCATTTCCATTACTGATGGGTGTGATCTTGATGTCACAGTCTCTTTAATGGTGGCTCCATTTTCTCAGATAAATGGAAAAGTAACCACATAATGGAGAGTTAACAATACCACCGGGGTGGGGGTGGGGGGCGCAGCATCAAGCAAGACTCAGTTGAATTGAAGCATTTCCTTAACCTGTAATCAAAGGTGGATTTGCCATGCGCTTGCTGTACACCAGGATCTCCCCTCCTTCCTGCTGCTTTTCACTGACGTTGTCAAAAAGAGAAAATACTGGGCTGGTGGTATATTAGCTGGTTTTTGCAAGGGTTGTGAGCTGAGTTACTGGTGGATTTCAGAGTCTGAGCCTTGGCAGAAAGCTTGGGGCACCATGAGATTGCCTGGTTGACACATTGGTCACAGGATATGGAGGCCATTCCAGGTCACTCCTGACTTCTGTCTGTGATGCCAGCTACTCAGAGAGCTACAGAGGTAGATCCCATGCTCTCAGTACAGAGAACCAGGAATGAAGGCTTCTGCCAACCGGCCCCCATTTTCCTAGTTGGCTGCAGCAGGCACCTCGCAGGACACTCCCCCGGAAAAACTCTCCCAGGCCCACATTTGGGGACAGACTCCTAGCAGAATACGGCCACAACGCCAAGCTCCTTCTGTAAGCTCATCGCGAAAGCTGCTCTTTCTGCAGAGGCTCGGGTTTCTTTGTCCACTTACTCCTAGGCCACTTCTGAGTGCTTCTAACTCATCAGGTCCGTAGCCGGACTCATCATCTTGACCCCCCACCCAGGCCTTCCGCAGTCCCTGGAATCTGTGATGTTGTTATCCATTCAGTCCTATAGACTTTAACCTTGAAGTCTTTCCTCTTCCCCAGATACTTAGATGCATTGATTGTCAGCTGCTGCTTCCACCCTCTGCCCTATCCTCCCGCCCCTCATCATCTGTCACTTGAACTATTGCAGCCAGGTCCCATGGGTGGGTGGGTGTCACCTGGGCACCAATCACAGAGGATCCTGGCTCCCAGACCTCACTCTCCTGAGTCCCCACTTTGCAACTAGCTGGGCAGTGCAGTTGCAAAACATCAAGAGTGCTTTGTCCAAGAGAGGAGGCAGATTCTCTCATGTAGGTGAATTGGGCTTTTTTTTTTTTTTTTACCTTGGTACCTGGGAAGAACTCCTAGCTTATAACTTGGTACTTTTCTAGGGGTGCCCAGAGGCTATTTCCTCCAAAGGAATGCTAGGATAAATCATCTTCATAAAAGACTCTGATCATGGGCTATGCCAGAGTCCATCGAGGAGCCCCTGTCCAGCTGGGCAATGTCCCTGTGTGCACACCCTGTCCTTCCTCAACAAGGGAGCAGCCACCTGAGCAGCCCCAGCCCAGCCATCGGTACCCATGCTTGACTGCAAGTGGTCTGACTCTCCAGCCACTCGTGTAGCCTTTCTCCTTTTGTTTAAACACCTACAGATGACATCTCCATAACACCTGCACCGTTAGCCTTCGTGGAAAAGGAGAATAAAAGCACCCAGTAAGAGACCGTGGAAAAGACTGGCTGCCTTAAGGCAAGATTTAGGAATTCATCCAGTGGAAATATTAACCCTGTATCACTGGGGATCTAAATTTGGGCTGCCATCCCAGCATGGCTTATTATTTTTCAATTATATAGTCTCTCGCTGTAATGCATGTTCAAAATGTCTGTGAGAATGAGGGCAAAATTCTTACCTCCATTCAACTGATTATGAAAAATAAGACCCAAATATATTAAATAGCATGAATTTGAATTCAGAGATTTCTGCTTTAGCCTCCGAGCACGTCCTCGAAGGGGACACCTGAAGCTGGTATCCACTGCTGGATATCCTCAGAATGGCAGGGGCAGAGGACTAAGTATCCATCTTCACTGACCCATGGTTTTTAGCCTAAAAAGGACCCCTCCCTCCTCCTCAGATCACCAGGAGCGAGCACAGAGGGTTCAGAGTCTTAATAATCACCTAAAAAGAAGCAAGGTCCAAGGGAAAGATCTATCCATTTTTAAACACCTGTCCATTATTCAGGATGATTATAAATCTTCACAGGCCTTAAATAAGGTGTTGTTACTCCTGGTTAAGGAGAGGGAGATGGGGGACGCTTGGGTGGCTCACTGGTTGAGCATCTGCCTTCATTCAGCTCAGGTCGTGATCCCTCGGATCCTGGGATCGAGTCCCACTTCGGGCTCCCAAAAGGGAGCCTGCTTGTGTCTCTGCCTCTCTCTCTGTGTCTCATGAATAAATAAATAATAAAAATAAAAAAAAAAAAAAGATCTGGCTCCAGACTTCACGCCCTACCCCCATCCCCAACCACACTGCTTCTCTCTCCACAAGTGAAAAGCAACTCTGTGATTGCTTATCAGAGACTCTGGCAGGGCCACAGGCCACTGAGTCAGGATCAGTGACTTTGGTCCATCTCTCAGTCCACACTTGGCTGCGGCTACAGAGCGAGGGTGCACCTGTAGAGATGGCCTTGGGTACAGATGCACCCCCATCGGGTGAGAGGGCACGGAGAGCAGCCCTCCCAGGGCTGACATTCCAGATCTAGCACTACTGAACCCCGAGTTGCCTCGGCGGAGAGCACCCTATTGGTGGAGAGACATCCCATAGTCGCAGAGCTTGGAGGCAGGTTGGAACCTCCCTATTGGCAGAGAAAGGGACATGGCTGATGGCAAAGCAGGAGTTTTCAGAAGCCGAGAGATGCATCGTTAGCCCCACTTGAGACACTCTTGCCGTTTCCTGACCAGGGTGAACACCGGTGGGAAGGCATCCTGCCCTGCGCTGTGCCCCCTCCTGTAAGGAACACTCTGCAGTCCCATAGGCACCCCGAGCTTTATCTCTGCGGAGCCTGGAGCCAAAACGCACTCTCGTTCCGGCTGTGAGAGTGAGCTTCCCCCGTGGGACGCTGTGCTGCACACTCGCCGTTGGCAGCAGATTCAGTTACTGATGCACAAATACTCCACCGGCTCTCACCACACCGTGGGCATTGTTTCAGGAGCTAAGGTAGAGCGGTGAGTGGAGCAAGGCAAGATGTGCACCTGTGCATCTATTGCCCCAAATTCCGAGGCCCTCTCAGCCCGCCTGCCATCACCTCTGCAGGTTCAGCCCAAACCCCGTTAAGCACGGTTGCAACCTCCACCCTTGACCCAGGACCGCCCCTCCCATTGCTGCTGGGCACATTCGGGCATGACGCGCTGGTGCATGTACGCGCACACACACACACGCATGCTCACTTGCACACATGCACACACATGTAGGTTAGGATCCGTCCAGTCACATATTTCTTTTATTTCTACCCCCGAGCTGCTGAGAGCGGTCGGAGCCGGGGGAGGGGGATCACACAACTGCAGGCTGCTG